GTTAAGGTAAATAATATATTTTTCACATCGTGTACCCATACAATAATTTCGAAACGACTTTATGCGTGATTATTATAATAATATTGTAACGTTGTTCACGTATGTTAAATGGTTTGTTTGTTTTTTCTCTGAACAAACAAAAGACGGCACCGGGCAATTTAGACGCAGCATTATATCCGTTTGTTATGAAAATGAAGTACCGTTGTTATGTGTAGTGTGTACAGTCGGACACGTTTCAAAGTACAAGTAAATGAGTGAATAACCGAAATACTGCGACAATCATCCAAGTGTCAATACCGGCCTATAAAATACATTAACAGTAAAACGGAGTTACATAACAATGTGGTTACGTTAACTTGAGAGGAGGGGGAGCGKATTTCGGGSTGTTTGAATTTCCCGCCGACGGAGCTTTGGCCACAGCGCGGCGCCGCCGGGCGAAACGTTGCCGCCGTTCGTTGGGCGCGCCGAAGCGCCGACGTCCTGTCCGGCGCGTCGCGAGCAGCAGCAGCTGCTGCGATGTAACAGTGTGACCGCCGTGAACGACCGAAAATCTGGYGGAGTCGCGGTGTCTGTGCGACGGTGACCGGCGGACAGACTGAGGCATCGCTGTTCAAGCTCCGTTGCCCGGTTACTGTGGTTTGAGAGGGGGGGTGACGAAAATCGATCCAACTGCCGCTCGACGGTCGGTGACGACTGACGACGCCGACGCGACACGGTGTGGCACTCGTGGAATTTTCGGGTATCGACCGCCGCGTGATGTGGCGGTCCGCATAGCCTCTTCCACACCACCCTCCCTCCCACCTACCAACCCACTATAACTAAGCATCGGAGGTTTCGTGCTTTTCGGGTCCATCCGGCGTCGCCACCGTCGGTTTTTGATTACCGGCGGGTTAGGGAGGGGAGAAACCGTTTGGTCGCCGAATTTCGTTCCCCGGAAACGAAAATAATCTCGCCGACCCGTGACATTTTTGACCGACAGAGGTCGCCACCGCCATAAAATAAATACATGAAATGGGGCGTCTGTAATGCAGCTTTTGTATGGCGTGTACGCTCGGGAGTGTGCGCGCTTGTATAATCTCGTTAATAACGAATTACGAAACTACGAAACCCAGTGCGGCACTCTTGTCAGAAATGATTGGCTTCTTTAAAATTGAATTAAGTCTAACAGGATAATAAAGGGGCCGCGCCGACAACCGGCACCAGCGCCAAGCAGCACCGGCACCGGCACCGGCACCAAACAGCACCAGCAGAAGCAGACCATCGCGTGCGTGCCCGTGTGTATGTGTGTGTGCGTGCGTGCGCGTAAAAAAGAGAAAAAAAGCGAAAAAAAACACAACAACACACGCCACACACGCAAGTCACAACAACGGCAGTCGACAACGGTCGACGGACGGAGCGCAGTTACTGCGCCGCAGTATAGACTCGTCGTCGTCGGTTGGGGTACTCGGTGCGAGTACTTACACTGTGCAGTGCACAACGGCCGTTTGCATCGCCGTTTTTCCGTCACCATAGTAGTTCWTCGAAACCTTAACGTACAACGTACTTTCGGCCTACGAGCGGTGGTGGCGGGTAACTAGCCCCCCGTGTGCTCGGTACACGTTGTTGTTGTTGATGTTGCTCGAACACAGCGGTGGTGTAGATTAAAATTTCCGGTCGACCGTTTCACATCAGCTGCTGCACACGGGCCGCCGGATCGTGTACACACACGCATACACACACGCGCGCGCGCGCGCGCGTATAATATATTCGCCGCAGCGTCTTCTTCACTCGCTCACCCGCTCTCTCACTCTCGCTCTAGCGCGCGCACACTGCTGCTGCCGCCGCCGCCGTCACCACACCCAGCCGCGCGCCGGCGAGACGACCGCCCCAGCCGAGTGCGAGATATCGCCGTACCCACACACACTCACACACACATAATCGTACACGCTCACGTATTATACACGTCGTCGTATAATATTATAATAATATAACACTCGTACACGTATATTATGTGCGGACGAGTGATGTAGATAATAATATATTTTTGTGCCGAATCGAACGCGCGAATAATCGCTTTGGCATTTCTTTCCTATCGTTGAGCAGCCCTACCGCGGTAAGTGTGTGCGCGCGCGCTCGTGTCGTTTTTCACTCGTGTGTGCGGCCGTCGCCCATCGACGGATAGCGATTTTGTGTGCGAGTGTGTGTGTGTGTGTGTGTGTGTACACGCGTGTGTGTGTGTGCGAGCCGCGTTTGTTTTTACGTGCGACCGATCTCTCGCCGCCGGATATCCACGGACACYCACTGGTCCAACGACTACCCACCCGGGATTCACACCACCACGCCGGCTTTACTAACGGCACCACTGCCGGCAGCACCGGCACCACCAGAGATGTGTACATGGACGATGGCGTGCCGCCGGTTGTCGCCGCCGTCCTAGGAGGCCAGATTCGTGTTGTTGTTGGTCGACGACGACACACACACCCACCCACACGCACGGTGCGTTTTTGGTGAGGCAAGGCGCGCTGCGGGTCACTGTGGAGTGGCACGAGGTGTCTGCTGCTGCTGGCCGCGTTGGTGGTGGTGGTGGTGGTGAGTACGACGGGTGGACAGCGCAGCAGGTAATAACGGACGCGCTGCGGCAGCCCACTGTCCTCCGTCATCGTGGTGGACCGGGCCCCAAGGTGCTGCTACTGTCACCGCTGAAATGGCGTGTTGCCTATCTGAGGAGGCCAAAGAACAGAAGCGCATCAACCAGGAGATCGAACGACAGCTGCGGCGTGACAAAAGGGACGCCCGGCGAGAGCTCAAACTCCTGTTGCTCGGTAAGTACCGTTTGTCCGCTTTGCAGCCCTAAAGCAAACGATTCATTTTCCTTGTTCTAATCCGAGCTACTGATAGGCACACAGGTCAACACCGACCCATCAGCGTGTGTGTCGATACACACTGATGTGTACACCTCTTATGCACTTAAACTCCCTGTCATAGTAATCTAGGTAGGTTTAAGATTTGTTTGGGTTTCATTAGTAGATACCTATTTGAAGTCATTATTCAAAAATCTACCAACAATAATCTCATAATTATTCCTATACCTATATATCTATTAATATTACTGATGACATTCATTAAAAACACACTACTGTAGTCTAAAAACCAACTAAGGTCCGACTAAGAAAACATGATAAATTATTCTTGGTAATTGCTCTTTTGTAAAGCACCTATAGAAAAATTGTTTTTTAAATTTTTATTGAATGATCATAATACTAGTAGGTATTCACTAAAATTTTACTGTTCATAATGTACTATACACATTAAATATTGACTGAGTAGTAATAGCTATATTTATTGACTGGCTTTTATTGATATCAATAATATTGATTGTGTATGGTTTTAGTCAAAGTTTTAGTGTTAGTGGGCTTACTAATAGATTTACCTACCTATATTGTTTTATTATAATATAATAAACTTTAAATAATTACTTTACTTATACCTATTTTTTCAAGGAAATCTATAAGTATAGCCAGTATTGGTAATACATTAATCAAAACTTTGATATACTATAATATGCCTGCCTATATAACTTATAAATTAACACAATTTAACTATCTATATACTCATACCTACCTAATATTTAGTTTTAAAATCAGTTTTTAAGTGAACATGGTCAAATTAAAATATTTAGGTTATGCTTCTCGTACATAGATATATACATAGATACCTGAATTATTGTATTATTATTTCATAAATATCCAAGGATTGTTAAAATAACATTTCAATCAAGGTCTTAATTACCTATGTTTTAAATTTCTTTCATTAAACTACAATGATGAAATCAGTTTTTAATTGATAGACATTTCCTTTTTTTGTTATTTGTTTCTATTATCATTAAAAATTTAGTGCGTCTACTAGGTAGTTTGGAATCACAAAAAAAGATACTTAACTCTTTGGTAAAAAGAAAAATCTTATTTTTTATCTATTTACCCTCGTATTTACCTAATAGGATAGGCCTTGGTAGTATGAATATAATAAAAATTGAAAAAAATTATAGAAAAAAAGAAATATTAACCACCATCACATATTCACATTATAGGTAGTTCATGTAGGTATTATGAATAAATATATTGTAGAAAACATACAAAATTAGTTTAAAAAAAAAAAAAAAAGTAGGTATCTAATTGAAAAAAACAATTACAGCTAAAGTTTTAAAGACTAAAGCTATTCACGACAACATATTTTATTTATTAATTACCATTATGAAAAACTAATATTATTTCATTCTACCTCTGCAGTTAGTTCTAAGGTTAGAACCTTAGAACCTAATCTTTACTTGAGTTTTGACAAAATACAAAAAAAAATCTAAGTAGTAGGTATGTAGTAATAATGATTATTAAGATGATTAATAGGTGCCTAAAGTATTGTTATCAAAAATATTGTATTTCTTGTACCTAGGTTTTTATTTTTCCATCTACTAATTTATATTATTTGTGTACCAAAGTACCTACTTTATTTTGGTAGGTAGGTAGGCTATACAAAATTTTTTAAACATCTCACTCCCTTTTTTTTCCTTTTATATCTAACACATTTATTCAAATTCTGATTTTTAGAATTTTTAAGTCAGAGTACCTAAATACCTTATTTTCAAAATCCTGATATTTTTTGTTCTAGTTAAGGAGTGTCCTTGTGGTGATACAACTTTCATTTTTCAAGTGATAACCCGTTTCCCCTTTTGCAGTAAATTGTTTAGCTAATGATTTTCTTGAAAAAATTGATGTATCTAAATCAAATACTAATAATTAGTTTCTGAATTAAAATATTTTTACTAAGGATAATAATCCTTAAATATGGTTTTACAAGAACATATGATATAAGATGTACTCTTATTTGATAATTTTTAGAAATCATTTATATTGTTTGGTCAATTAGTGCTTACCTAATTACTAACATCTAAGCCCCCAAATCTACTTAACTCATTACCATATAATTATTATATATTATACCGTAACTTGTTCTCTTTTCATGTGAGGGCAAAAATATTTTTTTACGAATTTCATTATATTTATATACTGTTATATTTAGCCATACATATGTGTAGAAAAAGGGAATAATATTAGGTATGAGAATGCGATGCACCTCAGAACTACCTGCAATTAACTAGTAGTATAGTTTAGTTGTTGGGATATTGCCCCTATCAATTTTTGTTCATGGGGGCAGTTGTCCCCATTCATCCCCCTTCTCCTACCAAGTTATGCCTTTGACCTTAGATATATTATTCTCCATACACAAAGTTATATTACTTAAATACTATCCATATAAATATTGATTGAAATATGTCAACATTTAAAAAAAAAAAATATCTGCTGAATAATTAAACTTGAAGGGGGTTTTCCATTTAAAAAATATAAATTTATACTGTTACCGAATCATCCTTCAGTAATACAAAAATCTCAAGGATTTTAAAATATGGTCTTCAAGTATATCTAAGATTTCCAAAAATCAGAATTCGAGTTAGAATTTCTATACATGTTTAATTTAAGCATAAAAATAGTGTAAGCATGCTTAAAAAATTATCAAAAAATGTAAAAAATTATGTCAAAATCCTCATTCATATTGCATTTCTCATGTTGTTTCTAGGAACCTATAAAATATTTTAATATTGTGTATCGTGGTGTATGGTTTAAATCTGAAAAAATATTCAATTTAGGCTCAAATTTAGGTCCTATCACTGTTGTACATTTTAAGACAAGATATGATAATTTATGCTGATATACATTATACATTTGAAGTTAAATATAAAAGGTGCATTATTAGATAGTAGTTACTTGTTATTTATTATTCTCAACTATTTTCTTATAAAATTATAAATACTTAGCTATAATATTATGTAGGGCCGCACCTATATGAAATATCCCAAGAATGTAATATAAAACTAATAACTGTTACATTAAAATACTTTTTATCAGTGTTAAACTCTTGAAATTCATACAATTATTATATTATAATATATGGGTAGTTAAACTGTTTTTACTCCATTTCACGAGAGAACAGGACTATTTGCGCATATTGAATGATTGGCAAGGCCATGAAATCCATTCCACATTTCTGCCAGTATATAGAGCAGTTTGCTGGCATAGTATATGTATATGCATGGTGCATGTGCTACCATGTAGCATGCACCATGCGCATGCGTAGCGGTGACCAGTTTTTGTCAGTCTCTGCGCTTTTGTTCTCTCATGGAATGGAGTATAGGTATATTTTTGTGTAAACAAAATAAGAGTTAGTACTTATATATACAATGTAATTGTTATTATAACAGGTACTTAGTTTGAAATAATTGCATACAATTTATTTAAAACCTCCTTTATAAAGGTACCTAAGTATACAGAATAATGATAATATCCCGGATAGTATGATAAACCAGTCAATCATTTAAACATTTTGAAAATTATGATCAAATATTGATTTTGTGACTTATGAAAAGATTAAAATTGTTAAATTCAGTAATTTTTAGTATATATGATGTGCTATCAATATTTTTTATACTTTCTGATTATACCAGGGTTATTCTGGACTTCAACTAAGTTATAAAAAAATTTGTCCTCCATTTTGTATACCTACTTGTAAAGCTAATCAGTACTTATGGGGTATTCAACTTTAGAGCACTGCAAAAAATCTAATATTCCTAAAATTCAGACTTTCCCGAAGACTTTCCAGTCAATTTCATTATGTATCTTAAATCTCCAATAATAATTTAAACTCGGCCCTAATAATTCAAGTTATTAGAAGTAGTATACTAATTCTTTCACTCCCTCCTTGAAATCATCAATATCTGATCCTTGTTTTCAAGTCCAGCAATATAACAAGAAATTATCTTAGAAGTCGTTTGAAAAACTGGAAATAAAATTAAGTAAAAAGTATTTCCCTTATATGATTTTTCCAATTTGTGTCATTCGTGTATTTATTGATTATAAGTTTACAGTCAAGATATCCTAGGAATTTTCTCTACTCTGTGTATAAATACAAAATATCGGGATGGTTGCACCATATTATTGACATTATTCATTAACCCATTGTGTGATAGTTTTACATAGGATAGACCAACAGATTTTTATGCTAATACACAATATTGATAAAATATTTCAGTATATATTTGACCATCATGCTGTGCCTATCCCATAAATAGACTTCTAAGATATTAAGTTTCTAAAATAAAAATGTCATTAAAAATTGATATTATAATTATTTCACTAGAAAAAATAATAAAAATTATTTAAAGTTTTAAAGATCCCCTAGTATGATTTGACTAATCTTTTCTCTACACTTTATGTTCAAACTTTATCCATATATTATATTATCATAACAGTAAACTGGTTTTAATCTTGATATTTCAATATATATTTTATAATCACTAACAATTTAAAACCCAATATAAGAATGATTTGATACATACTCGTAGTTCAATTAATATCTAATGAACATATTCATGTAATATTTTGCAAAGCAAAAGTTTTATATCTAGATCATTAGTTAATATATAATCAACATAGGTATAAATCATCAAAAAAGGTATACAAAGTTGTAGTTAAATTTCAAAAATAACGTTCTAGTTCTGTGTTTCTATTAATCATAGTATCTGTATTTTTACTTATTTATATTGATAAAATAAATGTTCAAAACTCTATCAATAAAAGTAGGTGCATTGCTACAATCTATGCTACAAGTTGTAGCCTACAACTATAGAATAAGGGGGCCATTTGTGGCAACTGTGTTATACTTTCTTCCAATTTATATGCGAGTTTTTTAGGCTAAAAATAAAATCCATTTACTT